GTCAGGAAACAAAAGATGCTGGTGAGGCTGTGGACAAATAGGAAAGCTTTTTACACTGTTGGTGGGAGTGTAAATTAGCTCAACCATTGTGGAAGACAGTGTGGTGAACCAGAAATACCATTTGACCCAGCAATCCCATTACTGGGTATATACCCAAAGGATTATAAATCATTCTACTATAAAGACACATGCACACGTATGTTTATTGTGCCACTGTTCACAATAGCAAAGACTTGGAACCAACCCAAATATCCATCAGTGATAGCCTGGGTAAAGAAAATGTGGCACATATACACCATGGAATACTATGCAGCGATAAAAAGAATGAGTTCATGTCCTTTGTAGGGACATGGATGAAGCTGGAAACCACCATTCTCAGCAAACTACCACAGGAACAGAAGGCCAAACACTGCATATTCTCACTCATAAGTGGGAGTTGGACAATGAGAAAACATGGACACAGAGAGGGGAACATCACACAAAAGGGCCTGTTGGGGGGTGGGATGCAAGGGGATGGAGAGCATTAGGACAAATATCTAATGCATGGAGGGCTTAAAACCTAGATGACGGGTTGATAGGTGCAGCAAAGTACCATGGCACATGTATACCTATGTAACAAACCTGCATGTTCTGCACATGTATTCCAGAACTTAAAAAATTTAAAAATTTTTTAAAATTAAAAAAAAAAAAAAAAAAAAAAAAGAATTGAGTCAGACCACACCCAAGGGGAAGAAAACTATTTTTTGACGTATTTTTAGAACCACCACAGATGCTAATAAATAAGGATATGCCTCACATAAGGAACTCTTAGGGCTGGAGAAAGGAGAACTGGCTTTGCTTGTATGGAAATGTTATTACCTCTCAACTGAGGAAATAAGAGATATGCGGTATTGGCTGGAAAAGAGAATTTGTTACAGCGGGTGGGGCAATATGTTTCTGATCTTTCTCAAGTGCTTAGTCTGGATAACATGAGAGAAAATATGAAATCTAAAAAGTAGGTTGGAGTTTAAATCAGAGAACCAGTTTCTACCAAACTGAATTGAATAATCTTTGTGAAATTGCTGAACTTTGATCCTCAGTGTCTCCATCTACACAGTGGGAATGAAAACAACATCCATTTAGCAAAGAGTTCTCATGAAGATTGGGTGAGATCAATTAAAGGCAATATGTACTTTGTGATGTGTACATGTTATAACATTATTTTTTATTAGCCATAAAAAGCCTTAACGTTTCAGTACCATTTTTTTTTCCTTTTTATTACTGCCACTAAGGACAACTTCATCTTCTCAAGTTTGAGACACCATTTCTTTATAGCATTACTATCAGTAATGAGTTTTTCAAAATCTCACTTTCTGGCTAAGCATGCTATTTTGCTCCAGGTTTGTATACTGACAAGCTTACAAATCACAAGCAGGTAGATAATTAGATCACAGGGTACAAATGCATGGTTTACCTTTCCATCCTCCTAGTTCCTGTTGTACTAACTAAAGTTCTCCCTCTCTTTCTCTCTCTCTTTATTAAAGTGTGTCATCTCTTCCTAGCTTCCTCTCCTTAAGTGCTCTGTTAACTATTTTTCATCCAGGGTGAGCATTCTAAAAAAGGCCTGTCTCTAAGGAAATAGAAATTCATGCTGTTTTTCCATTTCCTGCAATGAAGCAAAACTAACTCAATTCAAGACTGCATAGTGCTTCTAGGTTTTGTCTCCCTTAATTCAGTTAGTCATTTTTCTCTAATTTATTTTCTAGACCATAGTGTTTGTTAAATTTGCTTTCCTAAGCAAGAAAAAAATAGTTGATTTTACAATGATTAAACCTTTCTCTTCTCTTATGGATCTTAAGAGGAAATAAGTAAATGATAAGTAATTCTATGATCCTAGCGTTGCGGGGGCAGGTAAACAAACAGTGGAAAACCGGTACTGCCTGAATTGGCATACTCGAGCACATGGAATGGAGAAGAAGGCAAGGATACTATCATGGTCTGGGCCATGTGGTTTGCACACTATTCTATTCCTCAGACTCTGCACTGACCACAAGTGTTGGTTCATCATTGCCAAGCCAGGGATCAAGATGAGCCATTAAAAGTCTGTCTAACTTCAGCCACAGCTGTGCCATGGGAGAATCTCAGAATCTGATCAGTGGTGAGAGAATGGAATACTACCCATGACACTCAATGAGTTAGGTATATTTCCTTTTCTGTGACTGGTGTTTGCTATTTTATCCTGATCAAATCTTCAAGTAAGATGGAACTGGGAGTTGATACAGAACATCTTTAACTTATCCTTCTAAGAGGACAAGTGGACCAAAATACGACTTTTTAACACTGGTATTTTGCTTACACAAAATATTGGCATAATGCACTTACAGGCACTTTGCAAACTCTAGCATGCTAACCACTCTGTTAGGAGCCAGCCTAAGGTCCACAGTGAGAGCAAATCCGAGTTCACTAAATTTTTTTACATTATCTTTTCCCCCACAGACATGTGAGGGAAGGCATTTATTTTCCCTCAAGAATCAGTTACAGTCTATGTGTCCCTGTCCGCAAGGTGAAGAAGGCCCTGCAGAACTTCACGCTGTGCCTGAAAACCTTCACAGACTTCACCTGCCCGTCCAGCCTCTTCTACGGCACTCGGTCCCGGGACAATGAGCTGCTTCTCCTTGTCAACAAAACGGGAATGTATCTGCTGTGCATTGGAAATGCCGTGGTCACTTTCAATGCTCCCACTCCCTGCCCTCGATCTCCTTGTGCTCCAACCCATGTTAGTGTGAGCTGGGAGTTTGCCTCTGGAATTGCTCTGGGTAAATGGGAAGCTGGTGGGAAGGAAGAGTGTATGGAAGGGGTACTCTGTGGGGGCAGAGGCTAAGATAATCCTGGGACGAGAGCAGGATTCCTTTGGGGGACATTTTGATGAAAATCAATCCTTTGTTGGGCAGATATGGGATGTGTTTTTGTGGGATCATGTGCTCCCTCTAAAGGAGATGTGTGACTCCTATTACAGTGGCAGACTCCTGAATCCACACACCCTGACTCATGATGATAATGGATATGTGGTAACTAAGCCCAAGGTGTAGGCTTAAGTCTCATTCTCTTTGGTCATGATTTGTGTTTTATGATAATCACATACTCTTCGAAATTAAATGCATTGATTTTGTTTTCTGTTTCTGGCTCTGTTACGATAGTGTAAATTATACTTTAAAAAGACAAGGGATAAGTAGGATTTCAATATACATTATTTATTGTCGCAAAAATTATTTTGGGTGAATTGCACCATAATTTTCTGCAGTGCCAAACTACAGGAACTCAGGGGAACACACTACTTTCAGTACTGGGCACCAATCTTACAGAGCCCTGTACCACTGTGGGAGGTCCTATGGGGTTCTGTGCACTCACATTCAGCAATCTATAAAACTGATGTTACTACGGGGAGAGGCTTTCAGAAGTGGGATAATGTAGTGAGCAGGAACCCCAAAGAGGGAGTCTCAAAAGGGGTTTTCACAGGAGCAGGGTTGTGAGAGTATTTCCTTGGTACTCACTGCAGAAAGGACTCAGAGGTGTCCCCGGAAAACACCTAGATAAAGGCAAAGATAAGCTGCCCTGGAGGTTTCTCATTATACCCACTCGGCTTGCTCTCCTGCAGGTAGTGCTCTGAAGGAGCAAATCTTTTACTGTTTCAGGCAATGTTTCATAAACATGAAGGTTTCCCTTCTTGGGCCTTCCACCCTTAGGGATTCCCAGGTCCTTTGTTTTACAGGCACTTTCAATGCATTTTCAATGGGGACACTTGGACAGTTTTGGTAGGTGACAGATACAGTTTGATTCTTTTTTCATCAGCCCTTTATGGACCAGAAGGCATATGGCAAGTTCTGTCTTTTTTTTTTTTTTCTCCAGGCCAAATAATTCTAAAATCTTAATCCTTTTCACAGATCAAAATAACTTTTTCCTTTAGAAGGCAATAAACTCCCAGACTCTTGTTTAGAACTGTATTTAAACTTAGAGTTTAAACTAGGTACCTAACTATACACAGAAAATAAGTTCATCCATGTAGAAATGACAAGGGTAAAGGCAAGGCATATATTGCCTTGTAGCATGGATTTCCATGAAAAGGGTAAAGGCAAGGCATGGACTTCCATGTAGAAATGAAAAGGGTAAAGGCAAGGCGTGGATCAGATTATGTTCTATACAGAGAAGAATGAAAATCATGGGCTAATTTCCAGATCTAAGTCAGCAAGAGTTAGCTGGAAGGTGATAAAAATAAACTCAATTACAAAAAAATCCTCAGATATCAGATATCCCCATACTTGTGAATTCAGTATAGCATGTGTTACTCCCACAGAAAGCATATATAAGCGCAGCAAAATTCAGAGGCTGGATGTGACCATGTTGCTTACTAGTAACAGAGGCTCACCGACGAAGTAATTCTAATGTGAACCTCAACAAAATTGGAAAACAATTTCATGGGTCTCCAAGGCAGATGAGAATATTTAAAGCCTATAATATTTTTTCTGGAATGTCAAGATCTGCTACTGTTGTCAATGCTCAAAGTAGAAAGTGATGATAAGTGGGAAAGTGGTTTCGACCGTGTTTTGAACACATCCTGTGCACCAACTATGTCCTCTTTAAAGTTTTAGAGCTCAATATCTACATGACATTTAGGTTGACCTGTCAACCTAGTACTTCAAATAGGTGTTATGCAACCACCCTCTTTTCTGCTTTCAACAAACTGATAGCAATCAGCTACTCCTTGCTTGCAATTCCCTACAGCTTTGCACCTGTGAGCAGCAACTGACCACTCCCCTGGTGGTAACCTGTGCAGTTAGTAGAAGGTATAGGAGAATGATGGTGAAAACAAAGTCAAATCATGGGGACTCTTGGTTTCTTAATGCCACATTACCACCAAATTTCGCAACTCTCTTTGGCTAGAGGATGAATGATAGGATTCAATTTTCATGAGCTTACAAAAATACCCAGGCTATGATTGACTATATGTCAAACTGACAAGGATTCTAGGCAAAAGGTTTTTTGCCAATAGCACGGTGAAGGGCATTCTTGAACTCCTTGTTCCTCAAAGTGTACACAACAGGATTAAGTAGTGGAGTAAAGACGGTGTATGTCACTGAAATTAGCTGGTCCTGATCCCTGGTGTTCTCTGACTTGGGCTTGAGGTAGGCAATGGAGGCACAGCCATAGTGGATGATGACCACAGTGAGGTGGGAGGCACAAGTTGCAAAAGCCTTTTTCCGGCCCTCAGGAGAGGTGACCTTGAGGATGGTAGAGATGATGAGGATGTAGGAGATGAAGACCAAACCCAGGGTCACCACAATAACCAGGGAACTAACAACAAAATTAATTAGGTCATGTAGAGTAGTATCAACACAGGAAAGTTTCATAACTGGGCGGATATCACAGAAATAATGGGCCACCTCTTTATCACAAAAAGGCAGCCTGAACACAGATGAAATCTGAACTATGGCCATGAGCAGCCCAACGCTGCAGGCCCCACATACCTGCTGGGCACACATTTTCTTGTTCATGATGATCTTGTACCTCAAAGGGTTACAGATGGCCACATAGCGATCATATCCCATGGCTGTGAGCAGAAAGCAGTTGTTGATGGCCAAGGTAATAAAAAAAAACATCTGGGTGGCACAGCCAGCCAAAGAGATAGGTTTGCTTCGACTTAAGAGACTGGAGAGCATCCATGGTACAATGACTAACGTGTAGACAGTCTCTGAAGCGGAAAGCACACTAAGAAAGAAGTACATGGGGGTGTGAAGGTGACGATCAATGCTGATAATTGTCACAATTATGGCATTGCCAGCCAGGGTTAACAGATACAAGGTAAGAAATACCACAAAGAGGGTGAGCTTGTGTTCATGAAAGCGGGAGAAACCCTGGAAAACAAACTCCCTTACCACTGTGTGGTTCTCTTTCTTCATTGGATAAATAAATGGATCGAAAATACAGAGACTTAGGTCAATTAGTCAGAAGACATCAGTGCCCAATGCTTTCAGCAGGTGAATCCTCTAAGAAGATAATAAGGATTCTGTTCGTGGACAGATGCCAAGTTATTGGGGATGACTGTTCACCTATAGATATAGATAGAAAAACACAATAAGAAAACAATTTCATGCATGGCAGTGAGTCTATAAATATATAATGTAAATATAAATATATACATTAAATATAAATATATATTATATATAATAAATATATATTATTAAATATAAATATATATACATGTACACACACACACATATATACACGACTAAATAGGGATGAAAAAAATGGAAGAAAAGACACCTGGGATAAGTTTGAAAAAGATTTCCTAGTGACCTAGCACGTAAGTGTTAGAGAAAAACTAGGCTAAAGAAATAGGAAATGCATAGTTAAATTTGAAAGGAATTTTCTTTTAGATTACAGTTTCAGATTTTGTTTACCTGAAACAAATTTTTCAACCTCTTCCACTTTGTTTAAACCACAGTTTCGATTGTCTCTTTAAAGATCTTTCTTTCTGGGTTGCCAAACAAGACAATGCTCTCTGCTCCAACGTAACATAAGTGTTTACTTTCTCCCTGTTGCTCTTGTCTGCATGTTTCACGAACTCTTTTCACAAGTCATCAAACAGCTTCAAACCTGACTGTCCCCCCACATTTTTTTAGAACAAGAGATGTTCCTCTCTTTTTTCAGTGCTTGACTTGAGTCTCCTCCTCCTCAGAAAGTCTTCTCAGGACTAAATACAGCCTGTCAATCAAATTCCCCGTAGTGTTGCTAAGTGTTTCCCAGTAGCTTGTTTCCGTGGACTTTGTTTATTTCTATGCATTTTCTACCTTGTACTTAGATGAGAATTTTCCCAGGTACTCTGCCTCACTAGAGTAAACTGTCTTTTACAATTTCTTCAGAATTTTAAACTTTAGAGAAATCAGTTTACACGTTTCTCTCTCTGTCCCCTATTTGGGGAGTTATTGGTCATCAAAAAGCTCTCATTTTCAAAAAGAGTATAACAATAATAAATAGTTCCTATGGCACTTTTAGTTTATAGAGTTTTTACATGTATTATGTAACGTCATAATAATCCTGTGTTTTAAGTAATTATTATCCCTCTCTTGGCAAGACACCCAGGGTTAGATGATTGCAAAAATTAACTCCATCTTTTAATTCTAAGACTAGTGTGATCTGCCCTATACCACAAGTGCCTAAGCAGCATCATAATCACAAAATAAATGAGAAAGAAGATACTTTTTGTTGTTTTTATGGAAAACAATTAATGCATTTCCCTTGTTCTGAGAATGAGATTACACTAGGAAAAAAAAATGAAAAACTGGAGAATCTTAGAATGTTTCCTCTAGATAAATAAATATTATTATATCAGTGACAATCCATGTCCGTTCTTCTTGGCTTGATATTTTCACTTCCAATTTTTATTTTAAGGAAATAATCAGAGATACATATTAGGATGTATATCTAAAGACATTTTTATATTATTTATTGGTGAAGTCTAGAAGCAATGTAAATGAATAAAGGAATAATCGAATTAATTATAAAATATCCATCTGATCAGAATTATGCAGCCATTAAGAATCTACAAAGTGCTGACCTGAAAAAATACACTACATAAGTAGATTGATTGATTGATTGATTGAGAAATAAATTATAGACTACAAGTTTGTAAAAATAAAAAGAACCAGAAAAGAGAAGAAAGGGCAAGAAAGGAAAAACATTCAATGGCACACATGCCATTAAAAAAGTAAATATAACAAAATGCTAAAATTATATTTTTCGAGTAGTATATGGAGAATCTATCATCTATTTATCAATCTATCTAATATCTTCTCTATTACAAATAATATAAATATTTTTAATACATACTGATATATTATGAAACTAATATTTAATGAAATATTTAAACATTAAATATTAATGGAAAATTAATAATAAACCATATTGTAAGAAAGGATTAATGCTGACTATTAATTACTACAGTGGGATGAAAGTACTTGAGTGAAGCAAATTTTGGAGTTTTCTTAGTAAAGATTTTGAAGAACCAAAAAATATTTAATAGTTTCAAAATACTGAGAAAAATATGAAGCAAAATATGTGTTAATTTTCCTTGACGATGTAGAAATGGGCCAGTTCTTAACCATTCTTATGTAACTGTAAATGCATTACTGAGCAAGATAAACGTCAAATGTCTACGTAACTAGAAAGTCAATCCTACCTACACTAAGGAGAATGAAAAAAACAGGTGACAGAAGAGAAAAGTTTGCACTAAGCTTGTGCATTCCTGCAATTGCAACTCCTTTCTCATCATCCTCTTAGGAAAACAATGACTCACCAAGATAGCAAAGGTCCCCATGAGTGATAACACTAGATTAGTAGATCATGATAGCCGAAACAAAATGCCAACTTCCTTCTGTGGAATCCTGGTCACTGAGAAAAACAGCATTTTGCAACACTTTCTGTTCCCTTGTATTTTGGATTGTTAGCTAAAAATATCTCTCTACCCCTAAAAATTTTTTTTAAATGTTCTTCTAGAGAAATCATTTTCTGCCTAGACCTGACAATGAATTCTGGGCCAGAGGTTAAAATTATTCATTTCATTTTTCAAGTCTTTCCAATTGGAAGCAAGCTGGAAAAGCCCAGGTGCTTCGTAGTTTTCAGTCCTTTAAATATAACTGAATCATAGGACCTTAGTGTTAGGTGGTAATTTTAAAAGCACAGCATTTCTCATGAACAGCCCCTCAAATTCTGCTTCAGTGCTTCCAATGATTGGAAATTCATTACCTTGTAAATAAGCATTTCCCTTCTTTTTTTTTTTTTTTTTTTAAAAAAAAAAAAAAAAAAGATACAAACTCTTCTTGAAAAATAAAACCAGGCTTTTTAAATTATAAAAGTGCTCATAGGGGAAAAAACGTGGGTACAGAAGGATATAAATGGACAAGTTCATTTTCTCCTCTACATTTTCTTGGCCAGAGGTAAAGATGATTCATGGGGTTTTGTTGTTGGTATTGCTGTTTATTTCTGTCCAGAAATATTTTATGTACAATCATGCATATTTTCATATCATTTCAATTTTACGCAAATGGAATTAGGCAGTACATACCAATTCACAACTAGGTTTTTCCATATATTATATCTTGACTACTCTCCATAATAGTATCGTGATCTATCTCACTCTATTTCCAATGGTGCATACTATTTCATTATATGGATTAATATAGCTGTACTATCATCAATTCTATTTTTGATTGACTTTAATTCTTAGAAAATATTAATTCCTATCAACTTGATATTTATCTTCTTGCAACTTACCACCTCCCGCATCATTCCACTTTCTATTTTCTCTTCAATATGATAGTATTTCAAATATTTGAAGATCATTATTATGTCTTTGCTAAATTTCATGTCATTCAATCCATTACCACAGTAAGACAAGCATGAAGAAATATAATATTAATGGACATGAGATTCAATATAACGAATCAAATACTGAAAACCATACAGGAAAAATAGTAAGATTTTGAAAAATGCACATGGTATTTCATTTTCATTTACTTCCACTAATGGCACTCACTGTTTCTGACCTTGGCAATAGAAAGGAGAAGGAAGCACTTTCCAGATAGTGATCTTTAAAAGGCATGAAAGGACTGAGTCTACTCAGAGCAAGCAGGTGAACAAACCTTGCATTCAAGAGGCATTTACAAGGGAAGCAAAAATACACAAAATGAGGAAAATCCAGTTCTCTGTAATATCAAAGAGAGCCTCAAATTGTTGCTGTGTTCCTTGAGGCTGGGGGCATTGGCTCATTTGGCCTGAGAATTGGCCCGGGGGAATAATACAGTCTCTTAAACTGCAGATTTCAAGAGCTGTGTATATTTATTTTCCCCAAGGAAAGGAGAATCCCTCTGCCCCAAGTCTCCTGAGGCTATCCTTTTGAGAACTCCTCCAGGCTACTAAGAGGTAAGGGAGATAGAACCTGAAGGCTGGTCTCAAGGGTTTCATTAGAAATGTGGGTCGCTGAGGAAGGAGATGTTTTCATTTGCCTACTGACTGTTGGGGATTGTTGGAGTGTAGAAACTAATACTGCACTGAGTTTTAATAAAGCAAACCACGTGAATACTGGGTAAGTGTACAAAGGGAGGACATGAAATTTCAGTTTCTCAGTGTTGGATAGCAGTTAGCTTCCTGAAACTTATTTATATAAATAAGATCAGGGTAATCAAAAGGTTATAGGGGCTGGGACAGCTCTCGTCCCACTTCAGCCTACAGCAAATTTCCTTGAGTCTCACTGACATACATCTCAGCCCTGCTTTTCCATTTAGGGAAATCCATCACCCACACCACACTGGGAAAGGGCAGAAGACACTGTGCTCCCTTTGGTTCATTCTCTGATCCTGCTGGAGGGAGAATGAAACAGCCATGAACTTCCAGTAAGTTTAATTTCTGGCTCAGCACATCCTTCTCCATTCATACAGTCTCTGCACCCATGGGAGATGTTTGAGTAACGTTTCAGCCACTCTGTAAAAAGGGATTGCCACAAGAGCCTTCAACCCAAACTAATAATTTTTTTTATTCTGAATTGGCCCTGTTTTCTCTCTGATTACAAACATAATGCTTGTTCATTACAGAAAAAACAGAAAAGGAAAAATAATTAATGTAAATCACTTGTGATTTCCAATTTAGAAATCAACACCATTAACGTTTTGATAAATAGGTTTCGAATCTTTTATGCATTCATATGTGTGCACCTGTCTATACACACACATATTTATGTTTATGGTAAAAATGGGATGATTATTACTTTTGTAGCCTTTCTTCTTTTTAATAATATGAGATCTTGCTATACAAACTTCCTTATATTCAGTTTATTTTTTTTCTTAAAAGTGCATTTTGAACCTTTCCCGTATCAATAAACATTTTCCTACATTATAATTTTTAAATAGTTGCCTTGCTTTTTATTACAGGAATGCTCTTTATAATAATATGATTTGTTTGAATCAAGATTCAGACGAGCACTGCTCACTGCATTTGATTGTAACTCGTTAAAGTTTTGAGTCTAGACCAGGGTTTCCCAACAGTGGCG